ATGAGCGCAGGTGTCACGATGTTGGGCGAATTTGTATTGAGGACATAGAGTCTTAAAATATTTTGCATTAATATGAGGAAAACTGGAAAAGTATTTTTTAATTGGCATTGATGATTCTTTATTACTGTTTTTCGTTTTCTTGCGTCTCGCAACTTCCGTAAGACTTCCACGGTCAAGTAGTCCAGCTTGCTATTCGTCTTTGTTTCAGTATTAAAAGCTAACATTTGTGGTAAGTAAGTGTGACTGAAATACAGTCGCAGTGAAATCTTTCACATAGGAATCTAGGATTCAGCAAAGCGATGCCATGTAGATGTGGCGTAGGAGCTGTGATTCTGAGAGGTTCTCACTGTTGATTTACGCTCGTTGATTTTCGAGATTAACGGAGGCAGGCAAAACGGTCAACATTTCAAATATTTAGTCTCATCTGAAAAAATTAGAGATTATTGAATTATTTTGAAAAATCAAACATTTAATTCTATTGGGTTGCTTCTAAATATCGTTGAACGAAGTTTACTGTTGTAAAGCAGAATGTTAAAAGCGGAATTCAAGAAGCTCATGAGTATCCGAATTGCATGCCCCTAGAAAATATAGATCACACTTGAAAACAATGCGGTGCATTTTCACTTCATAATCTGAATCATAATTATTTTTATCCGGTAGTAAGCAGTGAATTACCTTGAATGCAAAACATTCATGAATATATGTGTCATACAAAGCTAGTCCAGTGAACGAAGAGTGAATCATATGATAATCAAATTGGAAACATTATGATGGTAAAAGATGCTTGATATTGAAATATTATTATAATAACATGCTGATATTTGTTTCTATTTATTATATGAGGGAAGCAATAAGTGAATGTTGCTGATTTATAAAAATTACTAGAAAACTATAAATGCAAACAATAGAGATTCATGCCATGCAAGTGCGTCATTGATGCAAGCAAGCATCAAAATCTGATGAATTTAACATGGGCTAGCTCCATTTCACTGTTTAAGAGAGTTTATGCAGTAATTCGTTTTCTTTTTCTTTCAAAGAAAACTGTGCCTCTGTGAATCTGTCATAAATGCGATAACATTAATTCTTTCATGCCCGAGCCCAATCATCAATCAAAGTACATAGTTAATTGATGCCTTATAATAAAATGAGAAGCCGATATAAATTGAGTAAATAATTATTTTATGTGTAAAAAAAGACTTTTCGTCGAAAAGTCTACTCGTTCCTGGATTACTGGGTCAAGCTCACTAAAAATCCGCATCCGCAAAGAAAGAGCTCTTAAGGCCGTTATTATGAAGAAATATTCCAGATGTCATGAAATCATTTCCGTTAATAAATACATCAGAAATCAATTTACGCTGTTTAGTCGAACACAGAAATTTTGAACTTCGTATACCATTCATCAAGATGTTCAGGCTCCTCACATTCGATTTAGGTCCCGGCAGTCAACCTCAAACAACTTTGACTTTCGGCCAGACCTGTGCTCTGCTGAGGACGTTTTTCCTTGTCTTTCAAAAGCAGTCATTACTTTGGAGACAGTACCTCTAGAAACGTCAAGCATTCGGGAAGTTTCTGTCACACTAGCACCTGCCACACGGGCACAATATGGCTTCTTTGAAAGTCAGATAGGTTTGCCATTTATAGGTTATAGGTTAGGTTATCAACACAAAATCTACTAAAAATATCTGTGCAAAGATAAAATATCAATTAGCAGCAACAATAAAACAAAAAAAAGATGTCTCGTTTTTATTTTTTATATCATGCTTAAAAATTCAATATCAAAATGTCAGGTGTTTCCCCATTATATCCAACCCGTGTACCATTCATTGCACTACAATAATTTGCAAATCATATGAGCGAACGGATTCAACAAACATGGTCGTTTGAAAACTGTTGATAGGATCGCGCATGAAATAGCATGCGAAAAGTTAACCTTAAAAAACGTTGTCATTCATTCATATTCAAGCTCATGATCATTCAACGAATGAATTCGAATGTTACTATTTGGTGAATTAGGATGAAAAATTAAAATGCCAACATTATCGATTCATTTCCTCCTTTCGATAGCAGGCTACAAGAAGAAAATATTAAAAAAAGGCTTGGATTAGGTTTATGATACTCATTTTAAAAGTAAAATAATTTAAGATCGCGATTAAAGAAGCTGGTGGCAATTCGAATTGAAAGTAATCGAAACGTACCATACAGCTGCATCGCCTTGTAGAACACGTTGAAAAAGCGGTTAACAAATTATTTCACCAAAACTAGTACAGATACAAAATATCAATGGAAACAACATAGTAGAAGAGAGCCTGCGAAGTGCGAACGCCAGGCTGGACTAAGCTTATCCACAAAGAAGTCAGCCGACGTGGTCAGAGAATTTTTATGGGAAGCGCGAGAAGCTTTCAAGCAGCACCCATCAGGTAGCGCTTTTCCGCGCGTTTTATTCGTCTTTTTGCACTGTTTTACGACCGAGATACGAGATCCGTCGTTTTCTAAAGACCTGCATTCGCTCACGAACAAGAGCGCCGAGTGTCACGTAAGATCTCTGTACTTATTAAGATGGATATCACGTCCGAGAGACTGGACAAACGCAGGGGGGCCATACTTTCAAAACTCGCTAAGTGAACGTAAGTACTTACGCTCTATTTTCTTCTCAATGATTGGTGGATTTTGCTTGAAAGGCCGTCAATGATTGGCTGATGAACTTACGATCTCTTAACTTTTTTTGAAAGTATAGGTCCTCGTTTTTAACGGAGTCACTGCAGCGTCGTGTGTAGGGAAATTGATTCACAAGCATGTACATTTGAGAACAAACAGGCTCAATAGACCGAATTATTTACGGAATTTTAAAATAATTTAGAATTGAAACCACGGTTGATACTGAAATTCGTTTGAACCGGAATCATTTGACATTATCTATAACAGACACAGTCCAACTTATGTTTGTATCAATATTTGTTATTTTAAAAAATGAAATTTTTTAATAATGAAAATTTATAATTAAATCATTTAATTTTACTTAACAAATTTTCTCATGATATTTGACAGTAACACATGGTAGCCGAAGGAGAAAAAAACGAGTCCATAATGATACTAGTTATTGATCTTGAGCTTATAAAAGCCTAAACAGGTCAGAAGTTAAACAGGAAGAAAAGTTTTTCCAATTTGTTCGCGTCGATAACAAATCATCTTATGTAAATTAATAGACACCAAATTACTTTCAGAATGGAGTCGATATTAACATTTTTACCAATTTTCGGACAAATGTTGATTCTGAAAACTCATTGCGAAGCCTGGAAAATTCCCAACATTCTCTTCAACGTTTTCCGATTATCTCGAACATAGTTTATGAAATACGAACGTCCGAGAAAGGGATCATATGTTTTCTAAGAGGTTGTTATTCACTATAATATATTATATATACAAACAAGCTTTGCAAATTCAAGAATTATGGAATCTAGATCAGGTTGGAAAGGCTATTGCTTTCACTTGTCAATAAAAATGCTCTCAGTACTGATCGATGAAGGCGATAAATTGCCAGTTCCAGCGCAAATAGGTAGCGTTGGACGAAATTAATTGCCTGCCTACTTTCGGCGCGCTTGAGAAGAGCTACTCACGAACCCAAATTAAATTGGTTCGACCGCAGTCTCGGTCAGCTTTAGGCTTTCCCTTCATTTGTTTCGATTTTGCTTCGGTTTACGAATTGCGCGATCGAGAGGCTACGCGATCGAGTGATGCACGTGACATGATCTTGACGACCGATCGCACAGCGTCGATATCCAAAATCGTGATCTGATTGGAGATTGTGCCAAGATAACGGTGCGAGGAATAGTTTCTAAAAATTTTGAGGAATTGTTTTTTATTTCATCGATACATTGAATAACTTGTGTTATTTTAGTTTCACTTGTCAGTCAACTATAATAATATGGGTAAATTATCCATTATATGCACCATGTAAATAATTATGGTTGGCCTTTGACGTGACACGCAGCTGGTGGGCCGTGTGACACGCAGCTGGTGGGCCGTGTGACACGCAGCCGGCGGGCCGTGTGACACTCAGCCGGTGGGCGGTTGCGTGACATTCATACGAACAGTTACGCTCATCGACGCGCGTAAATGAAGTGCGACGGCGGCGCGTAACTCATACTGCAGGATAACATTTCGATACGCTGGTGGTCGAAAAAAATGACGACCGTTTTAAGGTTGGAATCATAACGGCAGGCGAGAGATGCGTAGTGGCGCTCCACTGAACATGCGCGCCTGCAATCACCTACTTCAATGCCTGAAATAATGATGCACTAATCTGTGTTTTATCAAATAATCTGGAAGTCATTCGTCAGATATTAACTGAATCTATTTATAAAGATTTTTGTAACCTTTGTTTTAGTTCAGTCAATTGTCTACTAACAGTAGTGCCTGGTGCTAATGAAATTTAGGTGCTACTGAAATTAAGATAAAAATTCTTCGTAGATTTCATGCTAACTAATTCAACGGATCAGATTCCAAGTTCTCCAAGATAAATTAATCAATTAATTAAACACGAGATGGTATATTACTACTGTGATCAATATTATTCAGTATTTCCATCATTCCAAATAAAACTTTGAACAAATTTGCAGAATAAGTTTGGCAAGTTTTGTACATTTTCATTGGAACGACGCACAAGTAATTAGATATTTAATAGATATTGTAAGATGAATGATCGAGAGCACCAGTCGTGAGAGTTACATTAATCAGTTTTTATAAGTAATTCGATGTATAACAGAGATATCGTACGAATGATCGATGACAGCATTCGTGAGTTACATGAAACAGTTTTTATAAGTAATTCGATATATAACAGAGATATTGTAAGAATGATCGAGAGCAACAGTCATGAGAGTTACATTATTCAGTTATTATAATTCAAATTATTTTTGAAATTAACAAAATAATTTGTGAATATAATTAATTTAACAAGTGAAGTTTCCATTACGGTGCCGACATGAGACCCTTAATCCTACCTGGGTTGCTGCCTTGCCCAGTCCAGGGTAATCCTAGCAGCTGTACCTGCAAAACAAATTAAAATTTTATTTGCGAATAATAACTTATCTAGAGACGGTAAAATATATTTGATATGACTAAAGACATTCAACAAAAATTTTTGATGTACGGTACACAATTTTCACACACATATACAATATATTTTGAGAATTTAAAATTTACAATTGACTAAGGCCAATAATGGCCCAGATGAAACTACTTACCTTGAGCAGCTAGCAACCTTCGAAATTTTTGTATCATTCCGAGTATTATATTATTGTATTGTATATTTGTGCGCATTTAAAATTCATTATTCTTCCAAAATTGCTTCATCGGGAGATGAAAAGCGAGAGGAGCGAGTCATTCATGCAGTTGATAAAAATAATGCATCGTCAAGTTTCACGGCAGACATCATTTCTTGTGACGTGGTACGTGCATGGTGTTAGAATTGTAAATTTAAGGCTAATCAAAAAGGAGTCTAGAGTTCAGAACGGATTATCTCAAAATTTATTCAAATAGATCAATTAAATAGAAGAGCAATGTTTAAATGCGCTAACTTTACTTAATTATAACAAATAAACTGCACAAACTTACGCAAGCCAAAAGCATTCAACTTGTCGGCTATTGCTGCTGCACGGTACATCAAAGCCCGTTTTCCTTTCGCTGACGATATATATATTTTTAATCTCGCCTTCAATCTCATCGGACACGTTTATTACCGCACATTATTCAACAAGAAGATGGCCCATAATTGCATTCATTACTCGGTGCATACTGAAATAAAATACGAACTCTTCATCACTGATCGGAACGGCGACTGCAATTCTCGAAGCGAATCCGTTGTTCAAAAACGTGGACTTTCGTTACATTTTTTCACGTCAGGATTCTCAGCAGCAGGAATCAGTGCATATCCTACCGACAGAGGAAATCTTACGGGATCCTGATGACTTTTTGCTGTTCGGCCAACTTTTGTCGAAGCGGAAATTAAAGGACACATGAGAGAAGCCGTTAGAGGAGTAGAAGCGTTGATGGCTCAGATGTAAAAGAAACTTAAGGAATTTCCGAAAAATAAAGATTTCCTTAATGATTAGGATTGCTGCTCAAGCAGACCGTTTGAAAGCAAAATTGATCGTTTCCTTCATGCCATCGAGATCGATCCTCAATGATTACCTATTGTATTTAATTTCATACAGATCTGATCAGTAAATATATAATCTGGAAGGGAGTTATTTGGGAAAAGTTGCATAATATCTACATCCTATGAAGAAATACATTTTAATCCAATATTGTTACAAATTTGCATTATATTTTCATACAAATTTAGGGTCCTCACTCAGGAAATGAGGTCTTAAGAAGCCATTGGTATAAACGCCCGCTTTGTTAACTGACGGAATTAACCTAATCTCTCGGTCAGCTGCTCTCTTTATGACGTAAATTATATATGCATCCCAAAATACAACAGTAATTTTGAAGAAATACGTAGGTTATAAATTGGATTTCTCTTTTTTAATCGTTACAGCACGTCTCGTTTTCCTGAGTAAATCATTTTATTTTGGTGACCTTCTATATTATGATACGAGAAAAATCCGCGTACTATAAGGATGAGGTATCATGTAATATCCGTTTTGTTTGAGAAAAATTTCAGCTTTTGTTCACATTTCGATTAGAAAATTTTACACCACCACACGCCTGCTCTCCATGAATGAGGGCAAAAATTCAGCTTTCGTTATTCATGGATAATAGAAAATCTCCCAACCGAGCAGTGTATGCGTTCCATGCACTTGCATAGTGGTCTTTTTATTGAAAATGGACGATGGATTCTTAAGAGAACTGTCGAAAAACTCCCAGTCTAGGCTACGGTTGGACAACTGCTAGTCAAAGACCATTAAATTTTCCCCAGTCCCGGGAACTTTCATGGAACTTCTTTGAATTTCTCTCCCATTCTTTGTCACCAATTCAGCCACAGTTCCAGTTCTTTTTAGGAGATGACAATGGACCTCTGCAGTGCGTCTTCCAATGGTAAGAAACACGAGAAGAAACTCAGGTAGCTGCTAATGAACGAACCCAGACCCCTGGAGAGATCCTCTCATGTCACAGTTGCTGGCACTTGGATCAATTGCTCTTAGCAGTCGGCCTCAGCTTAATAATGAAGGGTGGCGAAGGTTGATGATCTTGCCTAGGCGAGTACACTGAAAATCTTTCCCTCGGACTCAGTTCAGCAACGAATGGCGCTGAAGGTTGATTATCTTGCCTAGGCGAGTACACTGAAAATCTTTCCCTCGGACTCAGTTCAGCAACGAACGGCGCTGAAGGTTGATTATCTTGCCTAGGCGAGTACACTGAAAATCTTTCCCTCGGACTCAGTCCAGCAACGAATGGCGCTGAAAGTTGAAAATCTTGCCTATAGGCAAGTACACTGAAAATCTTTCCCTCAGACTCAGTCCAGCAACGAATGGCGCTGAAGTTTGATGATTTTGCCTAGGCATGCGCACTGAAAATTATTCCCTAGGACTTAGTTCAGTAACGAATGGCGCTGAAGGTTGACTATATCTGTTTTGGGCAAGCATCTTTTTCTCCAACCTTTCTCAATATGCAATTGCTTGTCGTCGTTTTAAATTATTCGTCATTCAATTCATATGTAAACCAGTCCTAAATCAAGATGGACAACGAAATGATGGATTTGTCGAGAATTCTAGGATGGAATAATTATCCTAAAATTACTTTTAAAAACCATTCAGTAATGGGAATTTAGGATAAACCAACTTATTTGCCAACACAAGAAGCAAAGGATATAAAATTCAAATCTTAACTTTCAATAAATTGTGACTCGATTCCTGTAATGTTCCGAGGGTCTAGTTTTACCAATATTTTAGAAATATCAAAGAAATAGTTTTGGGTGGGTTTACTCATTATTCCAGCAATAATTGAGCAAGCATTATTGCTTTATAAATGACTTTAGCTTATACATCAGCTGCTTTACCCACTTCTTAGTCGTCAAGAACGAGCCAACCTTTCACCGGACTAACCTCAATGTCGGCGAATGTACAATCTTTAAGGTCGCATCGGATATAGGATATAAATAGATAGCAATCACGGAGACAATTAAGCACTCCTTTCAATAGTTAAAGGAACTGGACAGGCCACTTTCATTGCCCAACAAACAGTGAAGACAGAGGCCAAGCCTTGAAGGGAGTGGGCCGTTCAATGTGCGTTTGGGTTACAAAAACCTGCACTGCCTTTCAGATATTTAGAACTACGACACTAGATGAAAATCGGTATTTCTATAATCGAATGACATCCACACGTACGCCAGTTTAATGTGGTTCCATGCAGAAGAACAGCCTTTCAAGTGAAGCTTTAGATTATGAATTATCTATCGCTAAGAATACTTCGCGTGCATTAATTTTCGTTTGCGATGAATCCGGCAGGGTGCGGACGATCTGTGACAATTCTTCAAATTTTGAGTAAAATGAGACGCTGAGTAACAATAGACTAATGTTAAATAATAAATACTTGATAAGTGTAACTAACTATATGAATACCAAAGACCTGTGTTGAGTAAATGTCGTTTAATAAATAAATAAAATGATGGAAAAAATTACTTAGAAAAGAGATTGGATACGATCTTATACGATTTTATTGTCACATTGACGTCAGATTTCGCTGATCAATATTTAAAGCCAGATGAATCAATCATTGCTCAGGGTAACAATGCACCGTTTGTGAGAAGCTTATGATAAATTCAGGTCAGCATCTTCATAGTGTAACAATTGAGAATTCAGAAGAGCTGTCAGGGTTTTACCATTCTCAGCCATATGCAAAATGAATTAATTATTGATTATTAATATTAATCGGCGGTATCGAAGTAAGTACCTAGTTATGACCACTGTAAGCATGTTTTATATAAATGACTATTCTGTATAGCATCAATTAAAGTTACATAGAACAAAAATTTAAATAGATTGTTAAGGTTGTTTGAAGAAACTGTTGTACAGAAATATAATTATTCAAAGCATTTATATAAAACAAATCAAGCAACAAATTGATGCCTGTATAGAGAATAATTAAAAACGGGTGTAAATGAAAGCATGACTTAAAACGTGACATGAACGTTTGGCTCATTAATTGAGTAATAAATCTCAAACAACGTTGATGAGAACAAAGATGCATGAGAGACAAAAACATACCAAGACAGACTTAAGTTTATTTTTCACCGCTCTGTGTAGCGATGTTTAGGTAATTGCCATTTAAAAGGACTAAATGAAACTAATATGCGAAATGTTGCAAAGGAATCACCTTAAATATAAGATTCCAATTTCCTGCTTCAGGATAAATTCCTTTGCTTCTTAGACACACAGTGTAGATTTATCTGCATAAAACTGACAAAAATAATAAATAAACGACATGAATACAATAGAAGCATTAAGTAACAGCAAAACACAAATACAAATCCTAAAATTCGTCTTTCCTCAATAATGTAAAAATACTTACTGCAGTTACTCTGAATAAGTTAACTTAATCGAAAATCATATCAATCACTCACCTATTTCAGTCGTTTGAAACATAGAAATAAGTAAGTTCGTATGGACTAAATAAATAAAATATTTATTTCCAATAGAATATTTATTTAAGTACAGGCTGAAAATCTTTCAAGGAAAGTAACGCTTCAATTTCCAGGTCCATGAGAATTGAGAAGTTTAGATTAAGCGAGTGAAGTTATTTTGATTACGTTTGAACATGGACAATGAAGGCTATGAACTTATTGATGAAAAAAGTAACATCTCTGAAAATAGTAGAATTTTTATTATTGAAGCAACTAATTTAGGAGTAAAAAGAAAATATTTTTATACATGGCTGTTCATAAAATTTCAACAACACTTTACAAGGGCTTCGATTTTCCGATGTTGCTTCCAAATAATTTGCTTAAAATTTATACTGTACTAAAATATCTCGGAATTAAAAGCAAAGATATTATATATGAATTTTTTAATAGAATAACAAACCTTTAATTTGTGAAAAAATAATTACATATTTTGATTGTATTTTAATTTCTATTATTCATTGCATAGTTTTCAATTCCTGCGAGTCAATCAAGTTCCTAATATTGCTCTTAATTAACGATGATATTAGCAATATTATTATTATTCTTATTGCTCTTAATTATGATTAAAGATGATATTGCCCAAAATTAACGATGAAAAGCCCATGAGGGGTAACGGAGTTGGTTTATCAACGAGCAGTCGGGATTTGCGACCACCACAGCTCCCGGTCACTGCATGCAGTTCAAAATCTAATGAAATGCAGCAGTAGAGATTGAAACCGACAAGATGTGAATCAGTTACCTTCTTGCAACCAAAAAGGCGTTCACGTCTGTTTTACTTCACGGTACTGCGCTCCTTCTTTTCCAACCAAGCACAATTTAGTCATCGAAATGAGCACCATTTACAGTCGCACGGAATTCATGGATGGAGTTCGTTAATTGATTGTTACATCTTTGCCTTATTCCTGTTTTGTAAAAAATGCCTTGATATTAACAATTTCTAGTTATAACACGGCAACACGACTTATTCGATATCGCATTCCCACACATCTGAAGTTTATCATCAACAATAACAATATCCATCACTTAGAATGCACACCAACGGTCCCTAATTGAGCAATTGCCGTTGCCGGTCACCGCACCTCGAGCCACGGAGCAAGGCTGTAGCCCAACAAGTTGTTAACCCGCCGAGGCCTTGAAGGCGAGTGAGTGAACTACCGCAGTACTGGCTTAGTTACCCTAGTGACGTCGTGTAATAGTCACGTGCATATCGCCCCCCTCTCTTTCCTAACTATCTGGACGCTGGCTCCGGTGTCACTGCGCTCCCATGCACCTAAAATTGTATGAACTTCGCAGTAGAACCGCATTAATGGTTGGCCTAGCGCTAATTATTCAGTGGCTGGAATCAAATAAGAAAATCGTGAAAAGTTGCGCGTGAAGCATCCACGCGCACCAGTGTTCAGTAGAGTTGATAAACATATCTACTAAAATAGATCAGTACTCACTGAAGTGACTACAGAGAATACATTTTCTCACGTCCGTCCATCCGTCACGGACAAACGGACGGACAGACGGACGGACGGACGGACATGACGAGCACAATAGTGCATTTTTTCATAAATGAAAAACGCGCTGAAAAGTGTCAGAATCAACTAATGATCGACTTGACATCACTTGCACTCTATAATTATCAAAATAAAATATGAACGGCAAACAAACAAAATCTAAAATAATTTTTCTTCAGTTTTTACCTACAATGGAATAAGAGACTCGTCCACATTTCCTGAACGCATTAACAGAAAAGGAACTTGAGCCTCTGCCGCGAGAACAATAATCGCAGTAGAACCGCATTAATGGTTGGCCTAGCGCTAATAATTCAGTGGCTGGAATCAAATAAGAAAATCGTGAGGCCTAGCGCTAATTATTCAGTGGCTGGAATCAAATAAGAAAATCGTGAAAAGTTGCGCGTGAAGCATCCATGCGCACCAGTGTTCAGTAGAGTTGATAAACATATCTACTAAAATAGATCAGTACTCACTGAAGTGACTACAGAGAATGCATTTTCTCACGTCCGTCCATCCGTCACGGACAGACGGACGGACGGACCGACGGTCATGACGAGCACATTAGTGCATTTTTTTCATAAATGAGAAAATGCGCTAAAAAGTGTCAGAATCAAGTTATGATCGACTTGACATCGCTTGCTCAGTATAATCAGCAAAATAAAATATGAACGGCGAATAGACTAAATCTAAAATAATTTCTTTTCAGTTTTTACCTACAATGGAATAAGAGACTCGTCCACATTTCCTGAACGCATTAACAGAAAAGGAACTTGAGCCTCTGCCGCGAGAACAATAATTTATTAATACCAGCCCGAGTTTTCCAAGAGGCCTTTGAGCCAATGTCATAACTTAGGTGGTCAGTTCATCTTCTGGAGAGCAAGAACAAATTACTGCAATTAAGACCGCAGCAATTATAGCTTTGCCAATGTGTCAAGAATAATGTGAACCTTGCGTAGACTTCATTTTTTGCACTTTTCAATGAGACTCGAATGACAAACGCTAAAGAATTTGGGGATTCTTGATTTAAAGCTCAAGAGATGCTGCGTTAAATTGAAATAATATTTACGTTACTGTATCAATGCTTGAATTGAACCATCATTTGGTTGATTAATTCAATCCGAATTAATAAACATTTTTTTCAAACAACTAGCAGCCTAATAGATTTTCTTTATGGCGGGAGCGTCAAGGAAACTACATATATAGCAAATTCACAGATGCAGAGGTAAGTGAAAAATACTATATGCAGCGGACGGAGAAATTAATTTAAGAATATCAGGGTAATAATAATCTATTTTTGAATAATCTAGGTAATTTGAGAATTATTTCTAGGTAATAATACGAAATATTTTCTCAGCACATTGGACTCACAGTTGTTAAGTAACTTGCCTACCACAAATGTTTGAAATAATCATACATCAAGCATCGTAGCCATGTATTGAAAAAGAAGAATTTCTGCATTCCTTGTGAACAGCTAATGCGCCAGTCATGAACCACGACGAGTCTCCCCGAAATATTTTTAATCACGAGCGGAATTCAACGGCGGTTTTGCGGCGGAACACTCTGCTGAATCACGGCTTACAGTCTCCCAGTTAGAGATCACGCACGGCAGAGACAACGGTACATCCTAGCCCGCCTCTGCCGGACAATATGCTACGTGACACGGCGAAAATACGCTAAATTCGGTGCGTGCGAGACTCGAATGTATGTGGCTTTCTTCTCTGCCATGACAACCTCTTTATCCAGCGCAGTGGAGGATTTACGTGCTTTGGTTTTGCAGTTTGACAAGTTTAAAAAAAAACATTCAATTAGCTTTGTGTGCAGGCTTTGTTTGCAAGGAAGTAAGAAAGAAGAGATGCGGCACATAGAAATTCGTAGGGTGCAAGAAGAACATTCTTATACAGAGAAGAATTAATTTAAAAACTAATTAAATAAAACACAGCGCCTTAAAGTTTTATTTCAGTGTCATTTGGAGGCCAATTGAGCTAAGCTGTTCGTGTAAGCTCTCTAACACGATGTTCTACTCAAATTAGAATGAAGAACATCAGAGCCGATTGTAACCAAAAAAACTGTACCGCACACATCACATATAAATTGATGATGGATTGCTACTCCTTGTCATTTATTGAAACCAACATCCCATTGAAGTATAGTTTCAATATTCTTAGTCAGGAAATGTCAGTCAGCTATGACCACCTTGAGCAGGGATTAGTCGACGAGCTGCATCAGATGTTGGGGATTGACCTAGAAAATTATGTTTTCGTTATTATTCATTAAAAATATATCGAAATAATTTTTTACAAACCACCAATGCAACTCTGAAAGATGCTCTAAATACGTTGCCTACGCTATTAATACCTTTCAATCATGTGATTTGAGTGAGGCATTGAAATATTGCTTATTCCGCAGGCGCCTCTACTCTCAATGTTGATCTTGATCGCCTTGAATTAATTCATTCCAATTACACGAATAATAAACTGCATGGTGTGCACACAAGGCGCCGCCCCTTGCGTTTGCGTTAACCTTCTCGCCAGCTATGAAGATCCTTGACCAGTTTTTTTACGAACTAACATCCATCCTTAGGAAGCTTCCAAACGTCCTTTCAAAATGGCGAGGACTCCTATCGCTGCACAGTGTACGTTCAATGTGCAAACGCGCCTCAGAGTTCAGGGATAGGAATATCATTTATCATAACAAATGGCAGCGGCGGTGAGTTTTTGCCATTCAGGCGCGTTGTTTGGATAATGTACTTGGTTAATGAGGGTATTGGTAGAAGGTCGTTCTGTACAATCTTGACTATTGTACGACACACCGGCAAGCATATGATGTTCTACAACAAAATTATGATGTCAGTAGTTACTAAAGCATGCAATAGCCAGGCTCTTTAAAAAAATACAATGGAAACAGACTACCTTTAAGGACTAACAACAGACTACTACTACTTACTTTTCATAAGGACTACTTTTAGTCCTTATGTTAAAATTTTCTTGAAACCTTGATATAATAATTAATAATTTCTTGAATAATAATTATAGTTTTTTTTGCCATATTAGTGAATAATTGTGAAATTGGACGCTATTTCACTCCAGTGGCTGGAGAGAAGCATAAATTATCGCCCGAAGAGGTTCTTCAACGCAAAGAACATTAATGAGCATGGCATCGCCCATGCAGATTCTACTGGATTCGATCGATTTTAAGGTGAATAGATAAAAGCCGTGCTTTCGAATGTGGAATTTAAGACTCATGCGTAATATTAAAGTAATGCATTAGAAGCCTGTTAGCACATTAAAAATATGATGCACCTGTCCACATTTTTTTGAGTGAAGAGTACGGGTGAACGGTCTCGATGAGATCGAATGAACTCTGTTTGGATCAATTCTTCCGGCTTCTAGTTGTCTCAGGACAAGTTTTTTGACCTTGATCGCTAGAGTTGTGTCCTAAAGCTACCCGAAGGCAACACGATCCTGCTAATCTTTAGAGGCGAGAAAATGACAA